CACACAGCAGCTTTTAGGCATTGTTCTGTTTTTTGTTGAAATGACCAGGAAATGACCAGGAGGCAGCTTCCCGCAATACACAGTCAATGGAGAGGGTTGGATTGTTTGATCTAACTGACACTCTAAGACATTCTGCACACATAAAACACACACTGTCTGCTGTTTACCTTCTGTAAGTTCAGAGTTATTGCTTTTTGTTGGCTTTTAATTGACAAAACAGTTACAGACAAGAAATAATAGGTAGAGAAAAAGGAAACAGGTTTGGGAATATTGCAAGCAGGCTTTGAACACAAATTTCCCACTTAAGCACCATGAGACCATGATTTTGCCCATTACAGTGCTTTTATGGACAGCTACTATAAAAACACATATCAAAAGACCATACTGTGTAGCGTTACCTGAAACTCTTAGTAGCCGGGCTGGATGTTTTTAGGAAGAGGTTGAATTGCACTCTGCATCTTTTGTGGTATTTCCCTCTGATTCGCATCCTATAAAAAGACACACACACACACACACACACACAAATAATAAACAAATTGAAACTCCATGTGTTAATGATTTCCTAAAGTGGTTCATACCTTTTCATTCAGGTATTGGAGAACGAGCAGGTTGAATTTAAAAAGCTAGCTCAAAGTCAGGGATCTGCGGAAATCCACTTTCCCACCTGGAGCCAACGGCCCAAGTTTGATCTCACCAACCAGTGTGCTGTATGCATCACTTAACGTCGCCTCCTCCCAAGGCCTCCGAGAAAGAAAAAAGTGAAACCACAAAAACACTTTCTCCAATCCCAAATGAAATGCAATTGAAAAAACAACGCAAACTTTTCTGCAACTTTTACTTCCAATAGCAATGCAGGCAATGCAAGTGAAATAAACATTGCAAAGTATTACACAACTTAACTTTTACTGCAGTCCCAGAGAGCTGATCTGAGGTCTTGAAGCTTTGTGTCCGGTCCACGTACCAACTTAAGGCGCGGACGGGACAGAGCAAAGCTGGGCTGGGGGTAGTAGGAACCTTGGGCACATAGCCGGGCCGGGGTCTCAGGGTTACCTGGGAGTTGGCCAGCCCAAACTCTAGGCAAGATTTGTCAACCAAAAATGCATGCAGGTCCCTTACCCGCTTGATAGAGGCCAATGCAACCAGGAGCAGAGTTTTCATTGACAGAAATTTTAGCTCAACTGACTGCAAAGGCTCAAATGGGCCATGTTTGAGTACTCTAAGCACCAGACTCAGGTCCCAATGGGGTATAGAGGGAGGCCGAGGAGGATTCAACCTTCTCGCCTCCCTAAGGAACCTGAAGACCAGGTCATGCTTCCCTACCGACTTCCCTTCCACAGGGCTGCGATTAGCAGCAATCGCAGCAACATAGACTTTAAGGGTAGAGGAAGACAGCCCTTGCTGCAAAAAGAAAAGCACAACTCTGATCGGGCATCTCCGGGGGTCTTCTCGGTGAGAAGAACACCACTCAACGAACAGGTTCCACTTCAAGGAGTAAGCGTGTCTCGTAGCCGGTGCTCACGCCGAAGTGATGGTGTCTGCTACCTCTTGGGGTAGGTCCAGACACGGGTGCCACAGGGTGCCCCGTCTCTGAGTCAGTAGATCCTTCCTCAGAGGAATTTGCCAGGGAAGGGCTGTCACGAGGAGCATTAGTTCTGGGAACCATGTTTGGTTGGGCCAAGATGGCGCAACAAGCAAGACCTGCTCCTTGTCCTCCCTGACTTTGCACAGTGTCTGTGCAAGAAGGCTCACTGGGGGAAATGCAAATGCATATACTTCTGCCCGAAGAAATGCAAGGTGTGACCACGGGGTGAAGGTTTGGCGGCAGGCCGGTGTAACTTGGACCTGGTGAGTGGCAACTTTCGTGAAGACATGGGGGGACAGGGACAGCTAGGAGGGCAGGAACTTGTACTGATATGCACGTCCTTCGAATAAAAACCACAGAAATGGTCTGTGGTGTGGAAGGATCGACATATGTAAGTATGCATCCTTCAGGTTGATCGCTGCAAACCAATCTCGAGGACGGATGTTCAAGTCTGATGGTCCGCAGGAGCCAGCAAGACGGGCTGGGTAGCACTAGCCAGGCACACAGATACCGTACAAGCAGGACCAGCGGAACCACCGACGTATCCGCAGTGGACTTGTGGGAGGACCAAAGAGGGGTCTGAGTGTGTGGTGCAATGCTTACCTGGTTCCACGGTTGGGCAGAGGGTGCGTGAGTAGGGCCTTTGTTGATGCTCTCGAACCGCCCGCTGCTGCCTGCTGGCGACAGAGGAGGAAAAGTGTGGCCCGGTGTTGGTCCGTCCGCGACTCTCTGTGTCCTCTTGGGACCCAGAGATAGAGAAAACTGCTCTTTTGTCAAGAATTTGGGTGCCATTGACCGTGAGGCTGATGGCGGGACAAAACGAAACAAAATATTCTTCACCCGGCCCTCCTCCAGGGGAGGGAGTGGTGCCTTCACCATCTCCCGAAGAGCAGTTCCCTCCATCTCTGGGTCGCCCGTATCAGGGCCGCTTGCTCTTCAGCTTACCACCAGGTTTGCCAGGGGCCTGATCGGGCCACACTTATGGCGCTGCTTGGCTGGAGGCTGCTGCGGATGTAGTGCGGGAGCGGAGGCGGATGCAGGGGGCCGCCCTCGGCAATCAGCAGACTGGTGCGCTGCGGGTGGGTGGAGGGAGCAGCTGCCCGGCAGGGCAGGATGTGACAAATCGCCTCAGTCTGCTTCAGTACAGCCGAGAACTGCTGGGCAAAACTATCGACTGTGTCGCTGAAGAGGCCAGTTTGGGACACAGGGCATTGAGAAACCGAACTTTGTCTGCGTCCCTCATGTTGGCCAGACACAGCCAGAGATGGCGCTCCTGGACCACAAGCGTGGACATCGCATGGCCCAGAGAACTTGCTGTGACCTTTGTTGCTCAGAGCGCAAGGTCCGTAGCGGTTCGGAGCTCTTTCAGAACCTCCAGATCATGACCACCCTCGTGCAGGTCCTTCAGTGCCTTAGCCTGATGGACCTGCAGTAACGCTATAGCGTGTAAGGCGGAAGCAGCTCTTCCACAGGCCATATAAGCACTGCCGGTCAGACCAGACGAGTACCTACAGGCCCAGGAGGGGAGGGACGGTTTTCCCCGCCAGGTAGAGGCAGTATTAGGACACAACTGCATCGCTACCGACCGCTTCACCGGTGGGACCATCGTATACTCCTTAGCTGCCCCACCGTCGAGGGTGGTGAGGGAGGAGGAGCTAGCAGGTCGGTTCCTGGCAGTACAAGGTGCCATCCACGACCTGGTAAGCTCCTCATGCACCTCCGGGAAGAATGGCACCGGGACGGGGCGCTGAGAACCAGTGCGGGCCACCCCGAGAAACCAATCGTCCAACCTCGAGGGCTCGGGACACGGTGGAGATCTCCACTCGAGCTCTACCCTCACGGCAGGCCGGAAAAGCATAGCCATCATTTCCGGATCCGATTCAGGCTTTGCTACCATCTCTGAGGGCCGCAGCGCAGCCGAATCTTCCTCTCCAGAAAGCTCCGGCTCACCCTCCAATTCAACGATCGACATCTGATCGTCGGGAGGAGCGCCAAAGGATACTGCTGGTACGCTCCTTGTAGAGGGCCCAGCACATTCCTTTGGCTGCTCAACTGGTTGCGGAGCGCAAGAGGAGTGATGGTCCCTCGAGGGTTGGTTCCCTGGAGGGTTTGCCATAAGCAGATAAACATCAAATTTGTATTTTTGGGTGAACTATCCCTTTAATAATAATGACTACTTATTTATAATTAACCATTATTAATTAATTAAAATCATCTTTTTTTCTTTAATTGAAGTATTGCTATCTTTATGTTGATCAGTGTTGTTATAGTTAACTAAAACTATTAAAAATTGATTTCAGAAATTGAAATAAAGATTAAATAAAGTAAAAACAGAAATATATATTTTTTCACTCAGTATAAATTAAAGATATGTAGAAATATATATAAAAACTATGACAAAAGCACTGAAACTTAAACTAAAATTAAAAATCATGTTTTAATACACAGTAGTTATTTTTCATTGAACTCACTGCTGTGCATTCTGGGATTCTTCTCCGCAAAGGATACAAGCAATGCCACTTCAGAGTGAGTGAATTTGTAAGAGTAGCAAGAGTGATGTTGTGCATTCAGGTTTGGTTTACACTTACAGCCACATTTTGGATCTGTTGTCTGCCCACAAGGTTTATATGCTGCAGCAGAGCCTGAAACATGTGCGTGTTCTCTGGTGGGAAATCTTTTATACTTCTCTCCAACACACTCTTCAGAACCGACATACTGCATCCCGCTCCGACACACACACCTACAAATACAAACCATTCACTAACACTTCTTGCAAAATATCAGTTCCTTAAAGGGATTATTTACTTATCATTATGAGCATTATTAACTAATCCTCAAGTTGTTCCAAAGTTGTTGGTTTTTTTTCTTCTATCGAACACAAAAGAAGATATTTTGAAAAATGTTGGTAATCAAACAATGGCTGATAGCCATTGACTTCCATAGTACGGAGAAAAGAAAAAAAAACTATGGAAGTCAATGGCTACCATCAACTGTTTGGTTAACTTTCTTTAAAATATCTTCTTTTGTGTTCAACAGAAGAAAAAAACTGGTTTGGAACAACATGAGGGTAAATGATGTAAATGATGACAAAACAAACAGAAAAATCTACTCATATACAAAAAAAAAAAAAAACCTCCGATTTCTGGGTAACCTTTAACAGTTCTGGCACTCGTGTTGGTGATATTATGACAGGATGAAAAATACCCTTGAACTTCATATCTAGACCTGTAAAATAAAATAAAACAAGTTAAACAACAATGAAATCAAACAACAATGAAAAAAATAAAACAATGGACTGAAATGTCACCGTGGCCGATAATGTCAAATTGGCAGAAAAAAAAATACATTGGATTTTATTAGGTTTGGCCTAATTTGCCCATACACAACCTATGTTGGTATTGCCCATGACAAGAGGTGCCTGTGGGTAATCCGCCTTCAGCTGGAGCAGCTCATCTATAGATCCAGGGCTGATCCATGTCATTCTCTCCCCACAAAACCAAGTGGTTTGGTCCTTGACCTCTGCCAATCTCTGAACACCAAAAAGCAGAACAGACCATGATTATACAACATACAAATGTGTTGTTTAGCTGATAACGGCACTTGAACTTCTGACAAGCAGCTTATTGAAGCCTAAAATAGAATTAATAACAAACTAGAACCGAATGGCGACCTTGTTAGACCTTGCTTAAACATTAAACTTTATTTAAAATCTTGTAGTCATCATTACATAACCTACTTTTTAGTGAAGCCAAATGAACAGTTTTGAACAAACTGACAAACCATAAGCTCAGGAGGGAAGATCAGATCCTGGGTTGGGTCAAGGGAAGCAGGTCATCTTTACTGAACAGTTCTGGCTGACTCTAATAAAAACAAAAATAACAATGTAATCCACTGAGCGCAAGCATTTTAAGAACGTAAGTTTGATTAAGAGTAATTATAGACTAATATATCATAACCATGTCCTTAATCATGTCTTGCCTGATCCAAACTGCTATTTCTGAAATTTTTATGTATGTATATACATAAATTAATTATTAAAAAATATGTTTTCTTATTATAAAAGTAATATTTATTATACGTATATTTAATAACAAAATCACTTATTATATAATAATGTCTTGATAAATATACACTGTTAACATACAATAATAAATATTGTTTGAAATGTGTATGTATAGTATTGTGTAAAATGAATAATGAATATATACATACTGTATGAATATACACACACACACATATTTCATTTATATTCTATATTAACTATTATGTGTGTGTATGCATTGTATTGGGTAAAGTTAATAATTATTGAAAGTATAAACACATAAAATATTCAGTATATTAAACATTAAACTGATATTTCTGTTTTCTTTTTTGTTTCAGTTTTTAATATATATATATATATAGTCAGACTCACAGACTTTTGTTGTGTTTTCTTCCCTCATGTGCCCGTGACCTAGTTTTTCCTCATGTCTGGTTATGTTAGTCAGTTCACCTGTGTCCTTATTAGTTGATCCTCTTCACCTGTCTGCCCCTCATTAGCACCCCAAGTTCTAGTCTGTTTAGTTGTCTCTGGTCCGGTATTATTGATGTTATTTGTGTTGCTCCTACATGTGTCTCCTGCCTGTCCGTGCTGGATTTACTCTCTTGTGGATTATTTTGCATTAATCTTCATCTTCTTCGTGCGTTTACCTCACAGCACCGTGACCGAATACCGGACCAAAGAAGTAAAAGTAAGCGGCATGTTTCCCCGCGTTTTGTTTTTGTTTGGAAAGTTTTTCTTTTGAGGTATTATGGTCGACCCAGAGCCCAGCCTACCACCACCCTGCTTCACGGAGCTACAGTTTGAGCCCACCGCTGACGGAGAGCTAGAGCTTGCCACAACCGACGAGCCATCGCCTAGGAGAGCGACAGAGCTGAGGATCGCCCCGGAGCCAGAGCCTCAATCGACGTCAGTCTAGGTGGGCGTGCCGGCTGCTAGACATGCGACGGTGGAAGTGTCAGTAGGGAGCGAGGGCACGGAAGACCGCTAGGGTTGAGCTGAGGCTGCGCTCCGAGGCCGTTAATATGTATGCGGATATGTCCTGTCTTTTCCCGCCATCATCATCTGTCTGTCCCGTCACGACCATGGAGGTCGTATTTGAACTGTCCATCGGTCTTGAACCATCTGTCTGCCTGGAACTGTCTGTCTGCCGATATATACTATATACGATATACCTGTATCATAACGACCACGGAGGTCGTTCTTCTGTCGCTGGCACTCACAGTGCTGGAAGTGGCCTTATGGTGTGTGTGGGCAGCACACACCGTTCCTAAGACCCCTGAACATCCTGAACTCCCGCCCAGCCTCCCTCTCCCACCACCTCTGCACTAGTCCTCACCATCGCCGCCACAGTCTCCTGTCAGCCCCTCTGCTCACCCTCAGCCCACCATCTGTGAGGTGGGATCGCCGTGGGTCTGCCAGTCTTCATCGGCGTCGTGGCTGGAGGATCCCTTGTCTCCGCCTCCAGCCTCTGAGTCCTGTACTCCGCCTCGGCCCATAGACCCATCGGCTCCACCATGGCTCCTAGCTCCCTCCTCTCCTCCGTGGCCCGTCAGTCCACCAGCTCCGCCGGGCTCCATCGTCCCTCCGGCTCCGCCTTGGTCTGTCGTCGACCATCTGCCGCCATGGGACTTCACTCCTCCGGCTGCGCCTATATATATACACATGATAATATTATTTGTTATATATTTTTAATAAAATAATTAAGTAATAAATTATGTAATAAATAATGAAGGTATATATATTTCATTTATATTCAATATTTTGAATATTATGTGAGTGTGTGTGTGTATTGGGTGAAGGTAATAATTATTGAAAGTATAAAAGCATAACATTTTCGGTATATTAAATATTATACATTAAATATTACGCATACAGTTTTGTACTCTTCGGTGTACATTTGTAAATACACTGGCCCAGTTATATTTTATGTAAGGACATTGGCTAGTATGTTTTTACTGCACCTAACAGTCAAAGTGCAGCAGTACAATAAAATATTACAAAAGTGAGTGCAATATTCAAGGTAAAAATACTCACATTCATACAAATCTAATTATAAATATTACAATTATAAAAAAAAAAATGAAAACACAATATTAAAATTATATTATGTAATATTTTAATAATAATAATAATTATTTAATTATAAATCAGAATTGTAATTATAACTATACATTTTATTTTATAATATTTTATTTATTATTTTTGTTTATTTAATATATTTTTATTTATATCTTGTATTTGACTTTAAGGCGTCCACAAATATTATACTGATTATGCATACACAACTTAATCATAAAGTTTTGCAATATATTTTTGAAAGATTTTTTAAATTCATAAATATCATTGTTTTTGAGTGACACCACATGATATTTTACTAACAGAAATATCTAGAAATATAACAGAAATATAATTATAGTGAAATAAAAACAAACAAAAAAAGATTTTTCATTCAAGTCGTTTTGCATATAAATTGCATTTCATTTTTCTTTTTAATTAATAGATAATATAAAAAAAATGCCACATCACTGACCTAATTACAGGGGTGAAAGGGTGAAAATCAAGTTATGATCAGATCATTTAATCTCATAATTCACACTGAGTGTAATCTTTATTTAAAAACATATTTGAATTGGCAGTAATCTTAATCTGGATTGAAGGTGATCTAGATTTTAACAAACTAAAGTAATTATCTGGATTTTATAATCTGGATTGGGAATAATATAGATTCTAATGTGAATCTGTTACCTGGACTGGGTGTAATTTGGTTTTGGTGCTTCCGATGCCTTCAACGGTCGTCACAGCTGCTCCGTGAAGTTGGCACACAGGAAGCAGACAGGCATTGACCGACGAATGGCTGACCAGGAAAGAAACAAGCATTTAATACAGATTTTTATCAGATTTGCTTAACAAAAACGAATTAATAAATAAAAGGGTAGAGATATTAGCAGCATGCCTATCTTCCTTAAGAAATAAAAATAAATCTGACTTAAAATGACGTAGAATTTAAGTTTGAAGTGGAATCTGGATTGACAAAATTGAGGGAAAAGTGGCATTATGGGGTCAGACACATTCATAAAAAGTATAAATATGATGAAAGGAGAAAGAGAGTGAGTGAAATACTTGATGCTCTTGGTCTGAGGGTCATATCTGGACACCATGACGGTACAGGCTCCACATCCTCCTCCACCACAGTCGTACTTAGTGCCTGTAAGCCGCACTGCACACACACACACACACACACAGAGAGAGAGAGAGAGAGAGATTTAAAATGCAAATCTAAACCCAGCAATATTTGCAATTACATAACCTCCGTTGGAAATGATCTACGGTAACACTTCATAGTTAACATTAACAAATCTTATAACATTTCATAAATATAACTTATAATATAAATATATTATCATAAAATTCAGCATATATAATTATTAAAAATAAACAACAATAAAAGTTAAATAACCATTTATAAGAAGAAACCTTATTACCTAACCCTAACCCATCACATAAATAAAATTAATGCACACACACACACACACATATATATATATATATATATAATGATTTCTTTTATTTTTTTTACAAAAAAAGTACATTATATTGATTTCTTTTTTTTTTTTTTACAAAAAAAGTACATTATATATATCAACCATTTATAATAATAATAAAAATAATAATAATTTGAAGATTTATTAAAACGTGTAAAAAAATAAATTTCTTCCTCAGATAAGACAGCAGCATAGTCTCGGGGTCTGGGTTCTCCTCCATTATCTGTCAATAAGAAGTAGAAACATATGCAAAATACTTTCAGTTTATGCAGATTTTATTAAATGTCTTTAAAAAATATTATAATCGCTGTGTCTCTATTCAAATTAAATTCAATGTCTTTTTCCAGATCATCTTGTCATTAGTATGCTCTATGCCTTACTTTTAGGATTGAACTTGACAACATGTTCACAAACAAATCTTCGCTACAGTTAAAGAACATTTACAACAAACACATGACCAGGCTACACTTAACGTTACAAAGAATTTCTGCAGATAAGCACCTTTTTCCCGTTGACATTGAAAATCAAGCCATCGTTCCTGGTTTGTTAGAAGTAGAAACATATGCAAAATACTTTCAGTTTATGCAGATTTTATTAAATGTCTTTAAAAAATATTATAATCGCTGTCTCTATTCAAATTAAATTCAATGTCTTTTTCCAGATCATCTTGTCATTAGTATGCTCTATGCCTTACTTTTAGGATTGAACTTGACAACATGTTCACAAACAAATCTTCGCTACAGTTAAAGAACATTTACAACAAACACATGACCAGGCTACACTTAACGTTACAAAGAATTTCTGCAGATAAGCACCTTTTTCCCGTTGACATTGAAAATCAAGCCATCGTTCCTGGTTTGTTCAGCCATATTCTCAAAGTTTATGTCCAATACAAAGAAACTGAAGCAAATCTGCAGACTGGATCATCTCTGGGATCGCCACCAAAACTGAGAAAGTGTTTTCTGCAAAGTGCGAAAAGTAGAAATGGAAAACTAGAAGAAAGGTTCGTAAAGGCGGCGCTTATCTTACTGGAAGTTATAAAGTTATCAGTTAAGCTATGAAGTACATTTCGTTTAAATATTAATTCTCATGTTTAAACTCTTCATCGTGTATTTTTGCAATCCAACGCTATTATTAATGTGTCCCAATATCAGTGACGGCGCTAGACCGGGGCTGGGGGGGGCTATAGCCCCGTCAGAATTTTGAATAGCCCCGGTTTAGCCCGTTTTTTGATAAAGAAAACAAGAGTGCAGGTAGGAAACCATGTCTCTGAGGGGGCCAAAGAAGGAGAAAATAAACAGGAGTCAGAGAGAGAAAGTTTTGAGAGAGAAACTCCCGAGTCAAGACTTGAGGGAGAGGAGTAATTTGTTGCTGCTGCTAGCTGCTCCACAGGTGCGGCCGCAACTAGCACTAGCATAGTAAGTTAGTTATCGCGCCGACTGATGTCTTTCCTTTGTATGTAAAACGTTTTTGTCGTTGTCTTGTGGTCACTTGTATTAAGATTATATCTATTTTGATGAATTTGCCTATTCGTTGGCATAATATAAATTAAAACTACACTTCTGTTGAATATGGTGTGTACCATAGCTGCTTTTATTTTTTTTTAAAACGACAATTTCTTTATGAAGTAACTCTGACGTCATCAATATCATTTATTTTCTTAGCACCCCAACATATTGGTCTAGCCCCCCCTTAGCACCGGTAGAGAAAAAATTCTGGCGCCGTGCCTGCCCAATATACGTATTCTGGTCTAAACATACGTTGTCATGTGCAATCTGTTACTTTTCTCAGCACTGACTTATTGAACCAATTACAGCAGTTTGTGATTACTAGACTCTTTTAAACACACCTTTTATAAAGAATATTTACATTACTCATTTTGTTTACATATCAGGTACCAATTCGCTAAATTAGCCGATTTAAATGATGATGTGTTTTAGAACAAAAAGCTCTCCATTTACTGAAGTTTGAATGTTACTCACCGAGCTTCGTTAATCACTTTCCGGTGGTTCTCTCCCAGCCAACATTCTATCATGGGGCCCATGTGGGCCCCATATGGGCTGTAAATATGGGCCCTACATGGGTTTGTCCATGGGTTCCATGTGGGCCCCATCTGAATTAGCCCATATGAATCTCATATGGGGCCTGACTGGGGCTAATGTGGGGCCCAATGTCCCTGAATTTGTAGTTTTAGTTTGTTTGTCTTATTG